CTTCTCTGGGTTCTGTTGGTTAAACTGTTTCCTGAGCTGCTCTCTCCATCTGTGGACTCCATCGTCGCTTTCCTGAGCATCCTTCCAGCTCATTCTGCCAGTGGCCTGGGCAAGCTCTTGCCTGCAGGGGCCCTTACTGCAGCAATCGGGCAGAAGGTGTGCATTTCTTTGCCAGCCTAGGGCTGGGCCCTGCATGGTTGTGTGGATTCAATTTGGGATGGGGGATAGGTAGGAAATAGAGGCCAGGAGGTGGAGAGGGACAGCACTGACACCAGAGGCCTGGGGCCTGCTTCCTTGTGGCCCTGAGGCTGCACTGGCTCCGCGCTCATCCACCACTGTGCTGACTCTACCTTCTACTCCTGAGTCTGCTTTGATGTATGTTATTTGATTAATAATTAACCCCAGGAGAATTAGCTCAGTTTTTTAAATAATTAATTGTCCACATATTATTTACCAATTGAACCTGTTTTTGTTTAAGTGATGATGTCTGAGAATTAAAGGAAATAAGGTCCACACAAGGCTAGTACAGTGCCTGGGACATTGTCTGGTGGAGGTTAGTTGTTGGTCAGTGGTGGGATCATGTACTGCAAAAGTCAAGGTGTCCTGGAGTTGGAACTGAAGGCAGGAAGTGGAGCAGGCCCTAGATGTTTACTAAGTGTCCACTGATGGCCTCGCTAAGGACCGTGCCCCAGGTGTGATTTGTGCAGCATCGTGGCATGGTCCTGTGCTGACCTCCTCTCTGTCCCCAGGCATCACCGAGCTCAAGGTGTTTGTGGACCTGGCCTCCATCTCGGCTGGAGAGAGTGACATTGACGTGGACCGGGTGGCCTGCCTGCACGATGCTGTGCAGGGCTACGCGTCCCTGCTGTACAAGCTGGACAAGAAGGCCGGCTTCAGCGAGTTCATGGAGCTGCTGAAGGAGCTGTGGAAGGCTCTGAAAAACGACCCCCACCTGCCCAGCAAGCTGGTGCGTCTTGTTCCTGGTTCTAAGGCCTGGTGACTTGCAGCCCTGGGCAGCAGCTGTGCTTTGAGGGCACACGGGCACGGAGGCGTGTAGGCAGCTGCTCGAACGCATGTTTAAAAGCAGCTTTCACCTATGGAAATGCTTTCTTTGTCTTGGGTGGGAAGGGAGCTACAGAACTGCAGGTCAAGAGCAGTGTCTGCCCTACAGGACAGGTGTGGAAAGAGCACGGTAGGAAGCATGGGAAAGGGTGTGCAGTGGTTTTTTTATCAGAAGAAAGACAACACTGCAGTGAAGTGCATGTGCAGGGGGTGGGTTCACGGTGCTGCATGACTTGCCCAGTGAGCAGAGACGTTCAGAGGCCTGAACAGGCTCAGGGCGTCTGCCCCTGCGAGTGGCTGGCGGTGGGAGATGCAGAGACAGAGCAGTTGGCAGTTTTTCTGCCAGAAGCTCATGTCTGTTGCAGCTTTTCCTAAGTTCTTCTGGTGGTGTTTGGGAACCGTGGCAGGACAGGAAGAACACAGGGCTGCTGTTTAGTGAAGCATCTCTTCTCTGGGCCTCTGTTCTGGGGACCCAGCAGTCGGTGGCTTCCCTCTTGGGAGCGCAGCCTCTGGCTCTCCACCCAAACATCCGTCAGTGCAGGCCACATGCACTGCAAGGGTTAGCTAGGAACCCACGTCAGCAAAGCCACACTAAGTGACCAGGGTCTTGAGGGAGTGACACTGGGTGAGCAGCTGTACCTGGAGCCCTGGAGGAGGGTGGGTGCAGTTTGCCCAGCAAGGGCAGAGGCAGGAGGGAGGAAGACCTCATTCTCACCGTGGCCCATATTCTCTGCTTTTGTCCCAACAGCGAGACTCTGCCAGGAATCTGGGGTGGCTGAAGACCGTGAAGGAAAGCCACGGGTCCATCGAGCTCTCTTCCCTGTCCCTGGCTACCGCCATCAATAGCAGAGGCATCTATGAGATCAGGGCACCCACAAGTGACCAGAAGGTGAGCCTTCCTAGATGCAAGGTGTGGTGTTGGTGGCCTGCACTGGCGCGCTGCCGAGTCGGGGTTTTAGCCACCAGAAAATGACCTCTGAATATATTTTACCTCCCAGATCTCATCAGATGCTGTCCTGCGCCTGATCCTCCCTGGGGGTCACAGTGGCCTGGAGCCAGAGCGCTCCTACACTTTGGAAGACCTGAAGGATCTTTTAAACAAGCTGATGCTGATGTCTGGCAAGAAAGACCACAAGAATATGGAAGTAGAAAAGTTCTCTGAGGTGAGCGGCTGCCGCTGTTGCCTCAGGCTGGGCACATTCACTGCCCGCTGCCCGTGGAGGGCCAGGGCCAGGGATTGGCCTCTGCTGGGCAGAGTGGCTTCAGAGAGTGGAGCTGGTGGTCTGCAGGGTGCACCTTGCCTGGAGCGAAATCGGTGGTGGGATAGGTCCTGGAGGTATTAGGTCCCCCAGGAGGATCTGTCACCAGCTGGTAGTGAGTCAGCTGCGTGGAACAGGGGGTGACCAGGTAGGAAGAAGCATGAATGCCTTCATTTACTCTGTAAATTGGCAAAGTCCACCCCTCAAGATTCTGATGGCACATGTCTGTAACACCAGCCACTTGTGTGGCTGAAGCAGGAGGATTGCAAGTTAGAGGCCAGCCTCAGCAATTTGGTGAGATCCTGTCTGAGAATAAAAAGGGCTGGAGACATAGCTCGATGGTAGAGCACCCCTGAAGTCATGGTGGACACAGGTCGTTGGTTTGTGTGATGGTCTCTTCTTGTGTTATAGCTTCTTTCCTTATAGTCTATTTGGATTTCACAACTAACCCCCCCCCACACACACACCCGTGCTGGGCGTAGAGCCCGGGCCCGGCACATACGAGGCAAGTGCTCTACCACCGAGCGCAGCCCACGGTCGACATTCCTATCCAGCGCTGATCACTTCCAGAAGAAGGGAGCCCTCTCCTGAGGCGGATCGTGTTTCCCAGTCACCCGGCGGGAGGAGTGACCCAAGCCCCTTGAACCCGTGTGTGTCCAGTAGCTCACTGTGAGGTCTGCCTCATGCCCCTGTGTCCCCCAGGTATTCTGCCACGTGCAGAGGCTCACGCAGGCCTTCCTGAACCTGTACTCTGCGGGGAACATGCTGTTCCGGACCTGGACTGCCGAGGTCTACTGCTGCCCCAGGAACGGCGTCTCCATCCGCATAGACTTCCACTTGGAGTTGGTGAGCCAGCTGACAGAGAGTGGGGACGTCCCCCAGCTCCTGGAAGCCCTCTGCAGGCAGATGGAGCGCTTCCTGGATGACTGGAAGGAGCTGGTGAGCAGGAAGCGCAGGGAGCACTTCTACCTCAACTTCTACACGGCCGAGCAGCTGGTCCTCCTGAGCACCGAGCTCCGGAAGCGGAGTCCCAGCGCAGCTGCCCTCATGATGCTGTCCTTCATCAAAGACCACTGCACCCCAGCTGACATCTTAAGAGCCACCGAGGGGTTCAGTGAGGCCCCCAGACACCGCGTGAGGACAGTGATGGAAAAGTTACCTCCRTTGCAGTCCTCTGAGATCAGCCTGGTGACCAAGCTGAGGGCCATCATGGAAGAGTCCCTGGAGAGCATGAGTGTCTTTCTGCCTGGCTGCCTGGACCTGGAGGCCCTGGGCCATTGTCTGGCTCGCCTGGCCAGGATGGGTAGGCCTCCTGTGGAGCGGTCTCTCCCCGTGGGTCTGCAGGCTGGCCAGCCCAACCTGGTCTTGTGTGGCCACTCTGAGGTGCTGTTGGCTGCCCTGGCCATCTACATGCAGGCCCCGGGCCAGCCCCTGCCCACTTTTGATGAGGTGCTGCTCTGTACCCCGGGGACCACATTAGAAGAGGTGGCCCTGCTCCTGCGCCGCTGCCTGGCCCCGGTTTCCCAGGGGCACAAGGTCTACAGCCTGCTGTTTGCGGATCAGCTGAGCTATGAGGTGGCCTGCCAGGCGGAGGCCCTCTTCCGCAGCCTGTGCACACAGTGTCCCCGGGAGGACTACCAGCTGGTGCTGGTTTGCGACGCTGCCCAGGAGCGCTGCTACCTGCCCTCGGCCTTCAGCCAGCACAAGGCCCACCTCATCCCCCAGGCCTCGTCCCTCCATGCCATCCAGGATTACCTGGCACGTCACTACCAGGTCCCAGCACAGACCCTGTCGGCAGCAGCTGTGTTCAGAGACCGGATGTGTGTGGGGATCGTGTCCTCGGAGAGAGCGGGAGTTGGTAATGAGAGTTGTGGGGTGGGCAGGGCAGTCCTTCAGGCTGCCCAGTGACCCCTTCCTCTGTAGCGCCTCAGATGACACCCTCTGCAGGTGGGAAAGAATCTCAGGAGGGTCTGACGCCCTGCAGTCAGCGCTTCCCCTAGAAGGGGGCCTCCTTTTGTCCCAGCTTGCAGTTCCTGGAGCCCTGCTCCTCCCCGGGGCCCTTTTGTGCAGGTCACTTTTTTCCCGCGTGGACTCTGCCGAGTCTTCCTGGCTGGCGCCTTGGCAAGAGCAGAGGCGCAGGGGGCGTGGCCCAGGAGACGGGGCCTCGCGCTCTCCCCAGGCTTCCTTGGACTCCCTCCACGATAGCACTGCGCCCTGTCAGGACCCAGCCGGCTCCCCTTCCCTGGGGACATGCCTCTGTTTTACTTTATTTCACCTCCACTGCTGTCCTGCTAGTGGCCTGGCTGCCGATGCGGCGGGGACTCTGGCTTCCGGTGCGGCGGGGACTCTGGCTTCATGGTGGACTGTTCTCCAATCTGGTGTTCCATGATGTCACTTATGAATTTTACATGAAATACTTTTTTTTTTTTTTTTAAACGGGATTTACCCCTGAGGTTCCCTATCTCTGAGGCACATTCCCAGACTTTTTTATATAGAGACCAGGTCTTGCTAAGTTGCTCAGGGCCTCACTGAGTTGCTGAGGCTGGCCTTTAACTTACCATCCTCCTGCCTCAGCCTCCGAAGGCGTGTGCCACTGCTGAGAAGTAACTTCCAGTCTCTGGATCCTGTTTCTCTCGGTCCATAGCCTTGGGATTTCATTCCCTTATTTTAACATTACAGGGAAATCTCTCTATGTGAAGAGACTGCATGAGAAACTGAAAAGGAAGTTAAACAGCAAAAAGGTGCCTTTAAAGATCATCCGGTTGACAGAGGCTCAGGTGGATGAGAGCTGTGTCCTGGGCTCCCTCCTGCCTTTCCTGGATGCTCAGTACCAGAAAGCACCCATGCTGTTCCACTTGGATGTGACTGCTTCGGTAAGTGCCACGTGGCCACTGGATGGCCATGTCAGAAGATGTGATTCCCAGGCCCACCTGTTTCCCCCTGTCCAAAAAGTCCTTCCCTTCTGCGCCTGCCCATGGTCAGTACYCTTCTCTCAAGGAACAAGACAGAGGGTCCAGGGGCTTGGGAGAAGTGGTTATCAATTATGTCTTTACAAACCTGTGCTCCTCTGTTTCTAGGTACAGACTGGAACTTGGGTCTTTCTTTTCAAACTCCTCATTTTACAATACCTGATGGATATAAGTGGGAAAATGTGGCTTCGGAACCCGCGCCATTTATATATCCTTGAAATTCCAGAAGGAAATTCAGGACTGCTAAAGCRGTCTTTAAAGCTGGTATGTACATGGGGCATTTGCAGGGGGTCACAGCACACCTTCAAATCTGTGGCCTGGGTGACACGTCTTAGTTGTTTCCCACTCTCGCCTTAGGCGAGCAGTGAGCAAAGTGTCGGGAATTCATGCTTGGAGACAAGTCTTAAAGCTTACTGGGTGGAGAATGCTCTCATTGATTGGCAGCATCTTGGATTTTTCTGTACGCGTCAGATCATGACAGGGTGGAGTCCCAGCTGTGCCGAGTGCAGAGGTTCCTCCATGGACAGCCACCATCTCCTTCACTGCCAGTGAAGATGGCAGGGAGACTTCATGCATGGGACCCCATTAGCTGTCAGGAGGGAGTTCTGTGGTCTCGTGGCTGTGTGTGGTTGGTGAGAGATGGAGCCGCAGGAGGCCGGGTTGGAAGGCTTCCTGGTTAATAACACAGCTGCTGTGGTTGGGCTTCTGTGATGCCCTAAGGTGCAGATGCCAGCCTCTGTGAACAAGAGCCTGCGGAAGGCCACATGCTGCCAAGTGAGGGTTCTCCTAGAGGCCCTTCCGGGGCAGAACGTGGAGGGTTAACTCGGGCGTCTTCCAGGAAATCACCTTCTCACTTCTTTGTCTCTTCTTTGCAGAATCCACATGCCCCCAAGTTCAGTTTTCTTGACATATTCCCCAAAGTCACCTGCAGACCTCCCAAAGAAGTGATAGACATGGAGCTGAGCCCTGAGAGGAGCTTCCTGGAGCCTGGAATGGACAGGAACGAGTTCCGCAGTGCCACTTTCCAAAGACCTTTCCAATACTTAAAACGATTCCATCAAAAGCAAAACCTAGACACATTTCAATWCCAAGAAGGGTCTGTTGAAGGCASCCCGGGGGAGTGCATCCAGCACCTCCTCATCTACTGTGGGGTCATCAACCCCTCCTGGTCAGAACTCCGGAACTTTGCTCGGTTCCTCAACTGTCAGCTGAAGGACTGTGAGGCCTCTGTGTTCTGCAACCCAGATTTCACGGGAGACACACTGAGGGGCTTCAAGAACTTTGTGGTCACCTTCATGATCTTCATGGCAAGAGACTTTGCAACTCCAACACTTCACACCTCTGACCAGAGCCCAGGGAAGCACACGGTCACCATGGATGGGGTTGATGAAGAAGACCTTGCCCCCTTTACACTCCGAAGGAGGTGGGAGTCAGAGCCGCACCCATATGTGTTCTTCAATGGCGACCGTGTGACAATGACATTCATAGGCTTCCATCTCCGGCCCAATAACAAGGGTAGTGTCGATGCCATCAACCATCTCAATGGGAAGATAATCAAGAGAGATGTCATGACAGCAGAACTGTACAGGGGGCTGTCGCTGCAGAGGGTGCCCTTTAATGTTGACTTTGATAACCTGCCCAGACATGAGAAACTCTTGAGGCTCTGCCTGGCACTGGGAATCCCATGGGCCCTGGACCCCGATGAAACATATGAGCTTACMACAGACAACATGCTCAAGATCCTGGCCATTGAGATGCGGTTCCGCTGTGGGATCCCAGTTATCATCATGGGAGAAACAGGCTGTGGGAAAACCAGGCTCATTAAATTCCTTAGTGATCTGCGGCGTTGTGGTGCCCAGGCTGAGACCATGAAGCTGGTCAAGGTCCACGGAGGAACAACTGCAGCCATGATCCACTCCAAAGTCTGGGAAGCCGAGGATACTGCCTTCTCCAATAAGGACCAACACCAGTTGGACACCATCTTGTTCTTTGATGAAGCCAACACAACTGAGGCCATAAGCTGTATCAAGGAAGTCTTGTGTGACCAGACCGTGGATGGCCAGCCCCTGGAGGAGGACTCAGGCTTGCACATCATAGCTGCCTGCAACCCTTACAGGAAGCACTCCC